CATTTAGGATTCGTGAGCTCTGGAGTATTAATTTTTAATATATCGACTTAAAAATGTATTTACTAAGAGTTGAAAAAATCACTTTTGGCCAAAAAATTCCTTTCTAGAAACCATAGTGCGACATCTAAAATAAATATGCATTCGATGAAGTGTAAAGATTGTTCTCTTGAGATAAGAATATCTTAGGCATACTGCACAAGACAACGCCTCTGTCTTTAGTTCATTGCAATTATTTTTACAGCTTCAATTCAGCTAAATGTATAATTTATTGTAATAGTTTCTTCTTTCAATGACCTTTAAAAAACGAGAAGAATCTTTCAATAGGCCACTTTTCATTCGATATTGGAAAAACACGTTTAATTTCCCCTTGGAGATTTTTTCAGATAAGAACAATAGAACGGTGTATAAATAGCATAAATAAATCCGTATTAGGTTAATGTTCATTGATGTTTAACCGATATTCCGTCGTTAAAACGATATGTTCAACCTTGGCAAGGAATAAAGATATTTCTTTGTTTCGCTTTTATCCTTAACAACGTTTTCCCATAGTTATTTACATTTAATTATTGTTTCCTAATCTGCTACAATGTTGGTAGAAAGAAATTATTTCAACCTATTTTTATTATTATTGCTTCTACTAAAAATGGTCTTGGAATCTATATTATTTTAAAATTGGTAGTAAGTATTTTACTGAGAAAATTTCTTAAATCAGGAGTATTTTTTAAAGCGCTTTTATATTTTATTAAAGAAACACTCTGATATAATTTTCGGATTCTCATTTTTCTCCCCTTTGTGTTTTACGATTAAGGCGTTAACGGTATAGGAAAACTTAATATAGTCAGACAAAGGAAAGACCCTAGGATTTATTCTAGTACACGCAACGCGCGGGGAAGTGCGTGTGTGTACTAGAATAATTGTAATCCGATATTTTCAGTTTGCCAATTTGGTCAGTATAGCTGTTATTCGCAATAGCCGAAATCACTAGGGTTGCCACATTTCCGGAAGTGAAAAGCGTGGCAATCGTGACGATAGAGCATTTTTATATAATCAGGTCCAAATTTTGTGACCATTTCTAAAAAAAAAAAAGAAAAAAAAAAGAAAAAAAAAGAAAAAAAGAAGGTCCTCGACTTATTTTTCGTAAAACGAGTAGGTAGAGCATTCTTATATAATCAGGTCCTTTTTTTGTGAACATTTCTAAAAAAAAGGTCCTCCACTTATTTTTCGTACAAACGAGGGTCTTTTACCCCGTCTATTTTTGTATAAATTCGATTCCTCTGCGGCTTTTGAAAAGCGTGGAATTTGCATAAAAAGCGTGCGGACAAGTCAAAAAACGTGACGTCTGCCAACCCTAGAAATCATTTTTTGTCCACAACGCAATATGGGTATAATAGTAGTTTATCCACAATGCGACTAGAAAAGTTTTTTTATATTAGCTTATCTACGCACAGACTACAAAACGTAAAAGTATGTCATTGCGTTCAACTGCACGAATATATTTCATATCTATTTTAGGTAGTGAGAACTCTGCAAAAAAATGAAACCCACCAATCGCAGTTCACATTTTGGACACCCAACTTTTATTATTTTTAAAATTTTAAATAAATGACAATCCTGTCAAACTAATTGTCAGTATATTTTTTAGTTATTGAGATTAAATATAATTTAAAGTGAGTTATTTTTGTGTAAAATCGATAAATAATAGCATTTTTATATGATCCATATTTAAAAAAATTAAAAATAAAATTTTAATCAAACTATATGAAACTATTTTAATGTCGAGTATTAAAACCAAAATCATAGAAGTGGCCGTGGATACGAAGACAAAACGCTTGCCTTCCACGCGAAAAGCCGGGGATCGAACTCGGCTGGCGACTAATTAAATAAAATATTTTTTATATTTATTTTATTTTAAAAATCAGTAAAATTCAGAAATTATTTTAAAATTATTTATTTTGTCTTAACCTAAAATAATTTATCAAATTTGTAGATTGGGTAAACTAAGCTACTCACGATACGAAAGAATGGTTCGCGCGTCTTAGTTTTGCATTGTGTGGTACTTCGTTTGCCAACTTCGCGTTCTGGCTATTGTGTTTGTTTTACTCAGAATGCGTTGAAGATGAGCTATTAACAGACTATCTGACGTTTGTAGTAAAATAACACTCATTAACCGCTACTCAGTAACTTTATGAGGCCATGTTTTGGAACTCCACGAGAAATGAACTATTGGATAGCTGCTTAGACACATCTGTCGTAAATGGAAGAGCATCTGAAATTGATAATCCAGTCTTTAGAAAAAGCAAATAAATACTGTATCAGCGAAACATAATTCTGAAATTGGTGAATCGGAACTAGAGATCGAAACTGAACTAAAAAGATATTGAAACAGAAAATTATAGAAACAGCAAATACCAATATGATTAGATGTTTTGTTTGTAAAAGCATGTATGGACGGCAAGAACCCTGACCACAAGACCATTTATGCGTGTTTATTTTTTTTTGCTGTAATTTTCGTTATTAAATTGACTTCGTATAAATTAACAAATTATTTATAATTATAGACGAAATAAAAATAGAAATTCTATTATTTATCGATTCTACACAAGAATAACTCATTTTAATATCAATAATTAAAAAATATACTGACCATTAGTTTGACACAATTGTCACTTATTTAAAATTTTAAAAATAATAGCAGTCGGTTGATTAAAATATGAAGTGTGATTGGTGGATTTCATTTTTTTGCGGTGTTCTCGCTACCTAGAATGTAATGAAATATATTCGTTCAGTTGAAGACAATAGCATACTTTTTCGTTTTGTAATCTGTGCGTAGATAAGCTATTATCCATGTGGGTGTAGAAAAAACGTTTTTAATCGCATCGTGGGTTAAACTAAACTATACCCATAACGCGTTGTGAACAAACAATTTGGGAGTAACATAGCTATAAGCTCATGTTGCCTAATTGCTGAGGCATTGAGCCGTAAACTCGAGGATCCAGGTTTTTTTCGTATATGAACTAAGTATGCATATCCCTGCAAGTGTGATCTAAAATAAATAAATTAGCCACCAACTTAAAATGGAATAGATTAACAGCTTCTAATGACATTATAAAACTATTCTGAGGTTCGAATTTTTAAGATTTTTGTCTTCTATCAACTCAAATTAAGATGACTTATATTGTAACTGTATTAATCGAATTTTTAATACCCAAAAATAGTCCCCAGTACATCGACCTTTGGATTTTGTAACTCCTGTACACGCCTAACTTCCTGATCGGCTTCGTAACACCAAGTCGGAAAAATGTTTTCATATACTTCACCCTGGGCGACAACTTCACGAAAAACTATCGCGAAAATGTCCCATCCTCCAGGGTGAAGTATATGAAAAAATTTGTCCGACTTGGTGTTATGAAGCCGCTTAGGAAGTTTGGCGTCTACAGGAGTTATAAAATCCAAAGGTCAATGTACTAGGGACTAAAATGCCTTAACATAAATTTAATAAAATAATGTACAATGTTTTATATTAAAATCGTTAAAACACATTAGCTACATATGTAATAAAATCCCGGGATTCATAAAGGATTTGGTTAAGCTTTAATCCCTTCATTGAACTGATTCAAAAATGAAAAAAAGGACTGAAAGCCCTGAAAATTTGGATTAGGAGAGAACACTCGATTAATCACTGTTAGGTTATCTTCGTTTATTCTTTCAATGTTACTTTTTTTCACCCTCTGACAAATCTAGACAGGCTCCTCCCAATCAAGCCTGGGTTCTAATCTCATGGCTTTATTATGCTACTATTTCTCATTCATTGATTCAGATCATACATTCCACCGTCTAGAGAGGCTCCAAACCCTGCGACATCGGTCACGCATCCAAACGGTGACTGGTGTCACGCCGCTTAATCGTGATCGGTGTTTTGAATACTTTTTACAGTCAGCCTTCGACCCAGTTATAATTTTACTTAGATTAATCTTAAACATCTTAGCTTGCGATTTTAAAACAACCTCAACCAATTTAAAACTAATCTCATAAATATTTTGCTTCTCAATCAACAACTTGTGAACAGGGGCATCGGCTTGGCAGAAAGAGAACAACTTTGGCAAGTTTTCTACGACGCTTTTTCACAATTTTCTCGCTTAACTTAATTAACGGCTCAGTATAATGTCTTCCCGCGAAAGTATACCAAATAATCTATCAGAATTATCGCATCTTTGTCTCACAAAAATAAAGCCTGCAGATTTTTGAACACGGCATTTTTTCTTTTACCCTTTGGAATGCTATTTAGTTTCTAGCTTATGGTGATGAACCCACGTTTCATCCAAAGTAACAAGCCGATCCGAAAAGTTTGACTAAGTTTTTCAAAACGACGACAATTTATTTTGACGTTTTTAACCGAAAATTCTTCTGATCAGCATTCAGGCATCTCGAAATCCATTAGGCCGAAACCTTTCTCATGTACAAGTCGTGATGAACGATGTGAAACACACTTTCATGAGACATACAATGCTTCTGCTATACGATTGAGTATAATTTGCTGAACACATATCATGGTCAGAATCAATGTTTCTCGGAGTAGTCACATGAATTATTGGTCTTCCAAAGCGGTGCTCAACTAGCATTTTCTCAAACAAAACTTCTGTGTCTAATGGAACGAGCCGAAGTCGCGGTAGTATCGATACTCGATCACTGCGGTCCCTCTGTGTTATGTGTATGTTCCTGTTAAACTTTGTTAAACGCATTGTAAGGTATTCAAAACCTGTATAATATATTCTTTTGGCTTTATTATTAATACTATTAAATTTCACATCAGTTAACGTAAACATCATCTTTACAATTTATTTCCGATTTAGAATCAACTATTATTAGAATGCACCAATGTAGAATATCTTGAGTTGATTCTAGCAACTTGTTCCTAACATAAGTCGCATCAAGATTGTTCAAGATGAGGTTAACCTATATATCGAAATATTTATGTATATACTATATATTTTATATTACAGGTCACAATCAGTACATCTCAGCTTCAGACGCAGACAGTTTTTCTTCGAAGAGCCAACCGGCTTGGCACAGTAGTAACCTGTCCCAATCGAGTTCGGACTGCGACACGCGTTCGACCCCGCCATTGACTCAGAAGGGTCACTCACGGAGGAATATGGGAGGCAGGAAGCCCACAAAGGACCTCAACTGCAGCCCCGAAGAAGAAGAAAGAAGGAGAATAAGGAGAGAAAGGAATAAAGCCGCTGCTGCGAGGTGTAGGAAACGGAGAGTCGATCATACTAATTCGCTTATAACTGTAAGTTTTTTGTTTTATCGTGGTTTGCACATTTCTAGATGAAATCGGTATCAATCATCTTGTACATAAAAATTGAACTTTGTAATGTAATATTCGTCGCGAGCATCATTATATTAAAGTATCCGTTATTACAAAACGGGAGATGCTCATTTCGGTTGATCGATTCAATAGTTCTCCATATTACAGTTGATTCGGACTTGTAATGTAACCAAGCGAGGTACGCGAAAAAACCGACAATCCAATGGAGCAGTGATATATTTGAAAGGTCCAAAAAATTAGAAAAATGTTATAAATTAAACTAAACTGACGTTTCTTTCTAGAGATTTTTTTTATTGATGTCTTTATTCTGCTTTATATTCCTGCGCTAATATTCAGTCTTGACAAAAGAACGTCGAGATAATTATTATTTTAGAAACCTTTTAACCGCACCCCGATCCATGATGGTATTTGTATTTACATAAGCAACGATCAAACAAAAGCAAATAAGTCCCTATTTGGTTCAAACAAATATGGTATTATCCATTGTTGTTGACAAATGCGTATTTTCAATTTACAATAACTAAAACTTTCAGTGTACTAAATATAACAATTATTTAATATTTCAAATAAAAATTAATCAAAATGTCATTCATTCATATTTTTAAGCTGTCTTATAGAAATTTTAATAAAATGTTTATTAAGACTATTAGGTACTTCAGATGAAAAAATAACTGAAATAAATGGTTGCATTTAATTGAAAACCCATATATTTGCAAATGGAAAACTTACGTTTATGAAATTATTTTTCCTATAAAATTGCGTTCTTAAGGTACCGTAATTAAAGAAATAAGTTAGATTAAGTCCTTTCGATCCTCTCGATTGTCAATCTGTCCTAATTGTATAATTACTTCAGTGTGCCACAAGAAAATGCATCTGGGGCCTACCTCAATATACTACTTAAGTTGGAACCATTTGGAAAACTTTTTTATTATTGGTTTTGTGAAAAAATGTATTACTGATAAAAAGTTCTGCATGGTCCAAAACTTAAAATGCAACCAAGAGATAAATTTGTTTAAGCCATATACCAGGTTTGTCTAAAAATATGAATTTTACTCAAGAGTACCTTTATTTTTTACAATACAGAAAAAAATTATAAGGTAAAGTTATTTTGAATTAAAAGTTATATTCAAATATGCAATTTGTAACGTGATCTCTAGTTATTATATGTACTTGTTTAATGTGTTTGAGCTCAATTGATTGGGCGTGGGTTAGATTATTAAATAACTCGAATAACTTTGAAAAAGAAGTTGGGCACCACTATATTTAAAGCTTACTATACTCGACTCTAAATTAGTGATAAAAATATAGAAAATCACTAACCACTAACAAATAATATTTAAACCATGCTATAGATAAGGTAGATATCAAATTCTAATTCACATAGTTTTACTAAATTCAAATTTAAGATGATTTATTAAATAGCACTTATCTTTAGGTAAATGAAGGCAATATAAGGAATATAAAAACTGGGTTATCGCATGGTATATCTTCCACAAAGGGATTCGGGATCCTTATTCGTAATTCTGCAACGTAAATGATCTCGTGAAATTTGGTATTCTAACTTAAACTCGAAACTGTCTAGATCTTCTAGAGATGAATAAAACAACGGTCTTCAGATTGTACCAAAACCAAAACGTCTAGGTATAAGTCCATAAAATATCTAGAGATATTCAAACAACTGTCTTCAGATTGTACCAAAACCACAACAAACTTCTAGGAACAGGATTTAGATAAAATGCTTTAACTATAAAATGAACAATTTAAAACTATTAAATGAATAATTTCGCAGGGACTAAAATTAATATGAAAAGGAAAAATCTTATTTAATACATTCAAACATAGTAAAGCATAATATCTTATTCCAAAAAAATAATATATAATTTTATATAAAACCAACATGTGTTATTCATTGTTGATATTGAGGTTATGTTCAAAAAGGACAATTTATTTAAGAAATCCTTGTACAAAATACATATTTTCAACAAAATATCATTATTAAAACTTACCTTATAAAATCAGACGGATTTTACGATAGATTAGAATCATTTAGTACATCGGATGACCCAGATAATTATATTAAAAATCAAATCAAGTTGATTCGTTGTCATCCAAGTCAAAAATAAATCTCACAAGACGAATAAAGGAAGAAGAAAACGACAAATGACATTTAAGAGGTGATTGTGTCGAAATAACGGTTCCAACCGTTACAAATTACAGTCATTTAGCATGAAAATTCAGGTTAGGTGATTATTTACGTTTTACATTATAAATTATTTGTAGTTATAAATTAATTAATCACCAAACCTGAATTTTAATGCTAAATGGCTAATTGCATATTTGAATATAACTTTTAATTCAAAATAACTTTACTTTATAACATTCTTCTGTATTGTAAAACATAAAGGTACTTTACTTTTGAGTAAAATTCATACAGCTTAAAATTGATATCTGATGGTTGCATTTAAAGTTTTGCACCATGCAGGACTTTTTATCTAGAATAAATTTTTTCACAAAACCAATAATAAAAAAGTTTTCTATATGGTTCCTAAAATAGACTAAAATAGACACACTGTATATACTAAGTTGATACTTTGTTTAACTGTGTATGGAAATCATTAAAATAAACAAATTTTTTAAATTACTTTATAAAGAACTCAAAAATAAGAAACTTACATTAAGTTATTCCGAAATGTATCTAATACGATCTTGTCTAACTTAAATAATGTGTAGAACTTTCGTCGAAAAATGTTGATTCACACTCATGCCGTGCGTTGTAAGAACCATTCGCGAAGGAAATCTTCAAGTTGTAGTCTTTGGACACATTGAACGTGCTAGGAATACAATTTGTTTTCCCGCAATGTTGTCTACGCTTTTCTTTGACTTGCTCCCATCTGATCTGCAATCACCCGCGTACTTGTTATGGATCTACCTCGTTAACATTTAAAATGTGTTCTTCTAAACTCACTTCATTTTCAATTTACCAAACTGAACAATTTAAATTCACTAATTCAGATAAATCCACTACTGAAATCATGTTCGACTGAATTAGAATAACCGGTACACAATTGAATCGTGATTCATAAGAAAAACCCAACGACTAACAACTACTAGACTAATAAGTATTTTTCTGGTTGCAACTATTATTTTAGCTGCTGGTGATTTACAGGAAACCAGACCATTTATTTACAGTATGGTGTAAAGCAGGAATCATAGTAGTACGATTTAGCAGCCGTCTCGCTCTTTTTAATGCGGCAGCCGATGCGACAGCTCTGTCTGCCTAATATAACACAATCTAAAAGCTTGCAATGAATAGAGCTTAATTATGAATGAATGTAGTAGTTTTTTGTCGTTGAAAAAACAAAAAATAAACATTTTATACACAAGTCTAGAACCGGATTTATAATTTTTAATTTTTCATATTTTCCAGTTTTTTGAAATAAATGTTTTTTTTTTGTTTCAACAGTTAACAAAGTATCCACAATGCAAAATATTCTAAAAAATAAATATACCAGTTAAATATATTCTCTAAAATCAAAACAGATAATTATAATTGAATCAAATTCCTGATTATCACAATTTAAAATACACATAATTATAATAAAGGATGTAATATTATTTTATTTTTGCCATTTCTTCGAGAACTTTGATATTTCATAATATTCTGGCCAGCATTGCTCCTCATTATATAATAAATATTGTATTAATATGTACTGGAAATTCCTAAATAAATGAAAGATATATAAATTCCAAATATTATCCAATCTCAAAGTGGTCCGAAGTAGATTAAGCAGAAATGAGAAAAACATAAAGCCGTGATGATCCTGGGGTTGACAGACTTTGGGGTCTATTCTGTAACAATTCCTTTATATTTAACGGCCTTTAAAAATATTTTCTTCTTTACTTCTGTCATTATTTAAACGGATCTTTAAAATACATTAGAGGACTCTCTTAAAGAAATCTGTTTAAATAATGACAGAAGTAAATTAACGAATACAAATATACTTTTAAAGGCCGCCAATATTTTTAAAGGCCGTTAAATATAAAGGAATTGTTACACAATAGACCCCATAAATTTGTCTTAGTATCTGAAAACCATCTTTCAGGTAAAGTAAAAATATTTTTTAGTTTTTTGTATTAAGAAAAAGATTTTGTCACAATTATATCGTCTAGCGGGACATACATGTAGTTTTAAATGGAGTCAAATATTGGCTTTCCTAATTATTTTAGAGAAAAATTGGATTTATTAAAGAGCACTAAAACCCTCATTCAAAAGAATAACTTTAGATATTTTGTATTAACCCGTTTACGAGTTATCTCCGATTTCTTTTTAAATATTTCTCTTTTTTTATGGCCCTGTATTTACGAGCACCAGTCAAGGTAAAAGATGACTGTCAAATGAAGTTGTCATTTTGAAATATGTGCTTTAAAGTTATTAAAAACTCGCACATCGAAAATATAAAAGGAGTATTATGGAATTTAGGGCTATATAAAAAAGGAGAACTATTTAAAAAGAAATCGGCGATAGCTCGTAAACGGGTGAATTAAAAATATATCAAATTATTCTTTTGAATTTGGGTTTTAGAGTAGAATAATTGACGCCATTTAAAATTACATGGGATTTCCTATCTCCCGGTATAGTGTGGTGACAAGGATCTTTTGGCGTAATTGCAGTATTTATATATTTCTGGTTTCATAGTATAAATTCACTAAGAGGAGAACTTACTTTCGCAATTGCCTCTACCTAACTATTTGATTTAAACATTAAGAGAGAATACATGCTCAGAAAAGTTTTGTGATAACTAATTTATTAAGCAACATTTATTAAATATATCGTGGGCTTACAAGCAAAAGGCATTAAGTCAAAAAATGGGTTTATGAGTTAAGAGCAATTTAAAGTTTCAATGAAGTTCTAATTTTTTATAAGTTATTTAGTGATTATCAACTACTTCAAAGAAAATGTACATCCTTTCGGAATACAATGCACTGTTTTTACATCATATACAAAAATGTAAACCCATTTTGACAAATTTTTGACTTAGTGCCTTTTGCTTGTAAGCCCACGATATTATCTAATCTTTGATTTCGCTTTATCTTTTCGAAGACGCACGTCTATGGTTTAGTAGTTTTGAGGCATTATTGCAAAACATTTCTGGAAATGTTCAAATCAACTAACTAATTGGAAATATAGCCATTTAAACCTTTGATAATCCAGTACTTTTTAAGTTTTTTTATTTTTAGTAAAACCAAAACTGGGCAAGGGTAGGTAAAAGTTAAGAGTGTTCTTCTAGAGCCAAAATTTGATTTATTTTCAAGAAAAATAACGTAAAATTTTGATTTGACTCCAGTGAAACACATATTTAATCTTTACCTACACTTAGATATATTTTTTTTTACTAAAACTATAAAAGGGGGTAGTATCAAAAGTTTGCATGGTTGTATTTCATATTACTAGAGATAAAAATGCCAAAGCAAAATGGCTCGCTAATTTCTTACCTCTCATCCAGCTTTAAACTTCTAAAATCGATAAATATAATTATTGTTCTTTTATAACTATCTAAAAGTTTACCTCTGATTTCGCCATATAAACTAAACGATATCTTACAGAAAGCTATTTATGAAAAAATTGATGCCCAAATATCAAAGGACATAGTGTCCCTTCTAAGTCGATTTATATTGTGTCACAAGTTCTGACAACTTATCTACCATCACTACGAATATAATTATCTTAAAAAAGGAAAATAATTCCAACTCAAATGTGGCCATGACCTAATACCACAACAGGTATTGAATTATATCCAAAGGAAAGACAGCAGAGATAGAAATTTAGTTTCAACACTCGAACTTTGATTTTGGTTACTAATGAGAACGTCATTCTTGCACGGGCTTCGTCTTTATTAGGACTCATCAGCAAGAAATTAGTCGAGACTATTTCTTGCTCACGAGTCCTAATAAGGACAAAACCGACCCAACTAAATTTCTGTCTGCCGTCTTTCCTCTGGATATAATTAATTACCTGTAGGGGCATTAGCTAAAATAGTAGTTATTTTGTGTGACACATGGCTTTGTGATTTATTTTATGATATATCTTTAGCTTTAATCCTCAAACTGGCAAGACATAAAAAAATAAAAATGATTTTAATTTGGTTTGCTATTATTAATATGGAGTATGCGTTGATCCACAAAAAAATATTTCTAAAGTGTGCCTTGGAAAAAATCTACTTTTTAGCTTTAAGATTTAATTCAGAGCCGATTGTAGTTATCACGGATATGAGTCGTATTTTTCTCTTTGTCGATCATGACCTACTTTAAAAACAGTTTTGTTGATCAATCTTTAAAAAAAAAGATGTGTAAAATTATTTTTTTTTCTTGTTGGAGCTAAGAAATGGTTGTATAGTACAGAAGTTAGTTCTCAAAAATGTGTTCCAATTTTCACCTGGCTAATCAACCACTACTCAAAAAATGTCAAAAGTATATAAATAGTTTCTAACAAATTTATAATTTTAAGAAACCTGTTGGATATTATTATGTATGTATTACCTACATTACAGTTAGCCACAATAAATTTTCATTCTTAAAAGAGATTGTAATATATAATTTAGTTAATAAAATATGTTCTCTTTCCAGGAAACAGAAGAGCTCGAAGCGAAAAAGCAAGCCCTCCAGGACGAAATGCACGATCTCCAGCAGATGAAAGAACATATCGAATACATCCTGGACTCCCACAAGGCGCATTGCCGCCTCCACACCCAAAGTCCTCCTGACGTAAAACCTTACAACCACAACGATCAGTATAACAACGAGCGTGTCAAAACCGAATTCATCGAACCCATGAACGACATCTTCCTCCTGCCCTCTCCGACGAAAAGAATTATGTTGAGTTCTACAGTGCCAATTTCGAAACCGACCAGACCCAACACGCTTAACGTGGGAGCCACAGCGCCCAAAAGCGTCTCGGATATCATAGGAGGACCCATTTCCACCCCTTCGTCAGGGTTAATGTTTAATTTCGATTCTCTTATGGGCGGGGGTACCGGTTTGACGCCCGTTTCCACACCACTAGTGCCATCTTGTAGTAGCCAACAGAGAAATATTCCGGTTAGTATGGCTGATTTGGTCTCTCCCGACGCTTGTGGGCCCCCGAAGCTTGTCAGTCTCTGAGGGCTGGAGTGTGACATTTTTGTTGTGTAATGTCCTGTTTAGTATTTTCCGTTTTGTTTTTTTTTTCGAAGGAGGAATCTGACATGCCAAAGATTTTTTTTATTACAGTATTAACCATTGAAGTTTTCTCATTTTTTTTTAAACATATTTCCTTCAGAGAACACTGGATTTGGTGCAATATTTCATCATTCGAATACTTTTATTGAAGGTGATAAAACATAATATTGAATAATGATGACTTGTTTCAGATTACACTTTTGTCGAAATGTATGTCTTTTTAAAACGTGCTTCGCATAAATATAAAAAATTGCCTTTCTCACTAAGGCATTTTTTTAATTCGTGCCTTAAACTAATAATAAATATTTAAAATTGCAGCTACATTGCCTTTTGAAATACTGTAGAGAATTAAAAATTACAATTTGATTTTTAAAAAACAAAAATTTATAGAATTTAGTTTCTTTCTGGGTAAATGAAATACAAATTGGTTTTCAACATAAATAAAAACATAGGATAAATAAAAATAAAGAAGAGCTGAACTGTGCCTGTTTTTTTATTATAAGCCAGTGAAATACAATGTTTTTTCTACAACTATTGTAATCATATAAGTGGCTTAATAGTCATTATACACGAGTTGATTACTATACTATCAACTACTGTTAACCTAAAAAAGCACTTTATAAATATCATCGAGGAGCGGCAATATTTTAAATGGTATACATTTAAACAAACATAATTTTAACCAATTTAATTAAGACGAAACTTACTGTGATAGTTTGCACTGTGACAATTCAAACAGGCTACAACAAATTTGTGATTACCTTGACTGAATTTGACACACCGATTGAATCAAACTGTTTTTTATTCAATTTTCCACAGTAATTAATAAATATACTATATATCGGGTGTTTCAAAAAACATGCCATCGCTCGTGGGTTCATTCCTTACACAAACATAAGAGAAGTGATTTTTATTAACATGGATCTGTAGTTGCTTTGTTTCAAAGATACAGTGTATTACATACAATTTTTAACTTTTCAATTTGTTTTAAAATATTTTGGTCGGCAAAAGTTGATGGGTAAAATTTAAAAAAAAATATGTTCGCGATTGTCTTTTTTATTTTTTGATGACACATTTAGTTAGATATTTAAATGACTTTAGCTTTAAATAAATTTAAAATTATAACGGTATCTTTGAAACAAAGCATCTGCAGACCCATGTTGATAGGAAGTATTTGTCTTTGGGTAAGGAATCGCCCCACGAGCGATGCCACATTTTTTCTGAAACACCCTGTGTATTGGCTATATTTTTCAATAGTTGTAGATAAAAATATTTATTAAAAATACAGCTTAAATTAACAAAAAAAAAATGGATTTAATTAGAAATTTCTACATAGTTTATTTTTTATTTTTTATAAAAAATAAATTTTTGATATGTTTAGCCCTCATAAACGAATTTAAATTATTTATTTACCGATTCTGATCATTTCAATTCGCAATTTTGTTGTTTATTTATTTATTTTTTAATAATTTACCGAAGCTTTACAAGTTCTTTTAGGCAGTTTATCATAATAAAATAACTTAGATATATTTTTTTTTCTGTAAAATATTTTGACAAAATTAAAAATCTTCAGCGTGTCTGTTCGTCTTTCGAGGATTTTGAGCTGTATATTTACGAATATTTGTTATTTTAGGAATCATAATACTTAAGAAAGCTTAGCCGAACAATCAAAGTTGGACTGTTGTCAAAAATTTGAACAACTCTGGGGACGTATAATTAATTATGTCCCAACACTTTTTACCATGTTTAGTCGACCGGAACCAAAAATTTATTTATTGCTAAGATCAGTGACGTCTCTACGTGTCATTTAGTTTTTACGTTTATTTATTTTTAAATAGTTTTTTCTCATTATGTGGTTCATGGTCTGTGGAAGAAAGAATTTAATAAAAGACACCCAGGTGTTTTCTTGTTATGTTGTGGTCCACAGATTTAACCGATTTTTTGTTTTGTAAATGAGTGCTAAACATGGACCAATTGTTGATTAAGTGCTCAAACCGATTCTTTCATCGTGCTCCAATAAAATATATTTTGCTACGAAACCACGAAATGCCTTTTTTATAAAAGAGTCATATTTTCAAATATAGGAAAAATATTCCATCCATTACCTTTTTTAAATGAATTTAAGAGTTATATAAGAATATATTTTTTGATATAGGAGTGCTTCTCAGATAAAGCAGTTTGTGTTATTAATTATAGGAATTTAAATAAAAAATTTTTGTAAACGGGGCCGCTCAAGATGCGTTTACCTTTACCATTAGATTTTTTTAACCGTACTTTTTGCAATAATGCGCCTCTTGATCCGCCTTGTATATTTATAAATAAAATTATATAAATTTTAATATATTGATAATATATTTCAGTATACATAGCAATATTTAAAGGTTACATTTTTTGTAATCAGTCAATTTTATAAAGTAGTTTTGTCAAAGTTTTGTATTTATTTGCTGTAATGCTAATATAAGAAATACAATGATTTACTATTTTCTAAGTTCGTTTTTTAGTGTTTTCCCTTTTCCTAGTTATTTACAGAATGTACAGTTACTTTTTGACCGTGCCGTCACCAAAAAATAAATCTTGGGTTAACAGAATGATTGCCTCATTATACAAGATCCAATAGTATTAAAGGAAGGTAAAGTCTCTGAAATACCCCAAGTCTGATACAGAGTATGTGAAAATAATGTCTAAAAAAGTAAGTCAAAGTAAAACAAAAGTCAATTCTTTAATATTAAGTAAGTTGAGACAATTTATATATAAGATGTACGAAGGTGCGCAACATGTAACAATGAAATCGTTAATAAAGGATTTTCGGAAGAAATGCCTGATGTGAAATGTTCTGCACGCTCAATTAATACATGGATTCGAAAAATTGGCTTTCGCTTTAAAAGAAGAGTAACAACAGACAGTTTTTATTGGAACGAACAACGATTCAGTTAAAAAAGAAATTGTTTTTAAAAAATTTTAACAAGGGATGAGCTGGGTAACTTTAAGCCTGTATTTATGAATGAGACGTGGGTATATAGTAAGAGTAAGCGAAGTGATATAAAAAGTTGGCAGGATGGAACAATGGCTAATAGTCCAGGATCCGTAAGTAGAGTCGACCTTCACCCATCTGTTTAATGGAAAAAACTTATTTTTTATTAAATAAAATATGTTTTGAAGACAACTCAAAAACGGACCAAGAGAAAAACACCAAATTTTAAATTTAAGCTTTAATCCATCCTGCGATGAGCTGATTAAAGTTTGGGCATAGTTGAAGCATCTGGGGAATACTTTACAGGGTGCCGTTTTTTTACTTTAAGAAAAAAAATACTCTGGACCGTATTTTCTTAGGCAACCCATTTTCGGTATATTTATAAATTTATTTTATGTTATAAAAAGAAACTTTCATCCATTGATCTTGGACTATAATGCAAGTAAAAAACAGGAGATGGAATTCGATACATCATTGTCCATGGTGTCAATGAAGAAGGCTTTATAAAAAATGCAGATATCATATTTAAAAGTTAAACAAAAAGCGGGGATTACCATAATAATATGAACACAGAAAATTTTGAAAAATGGTTTAAGAACGAAAGGACCCCGCAATAATCTTATGGAAATTGGGTTTCGGTCAAATTGTCTGAATTTTTGATATGTTGTAGATTTCGTCATCCTGAACAAAAGTCTCCATGGGCACAAAGCGCCAAAATCAATATTTTGGCAGCTACAGAGCTGCCAAAGTTCCATATATCCGTTCCAAAACTATTCATTTTTAATACTATTTCCAGATGTCGAGAGCATATTTTAATTATTTAAACACATAAGGTAGCGTTTTTTGGGTCACTGAATTCGATGCTAATGTTAGATTGGAAAAATTGACAGTTGACAGCTGTCAATTCGCTGTCAAAGAGGAATAAAAAAGTGAATGTGCTCTGTTGACATTGGAAATTCAGGTTTTCGAGGCCGCTGAATTCAATTCTAATGTTAGATTGGAAAAATTGACAGTTGACAGCTGTCAATTCGCTGTCAAAGAGGAATAAAAAAGTGAATGTGCTCTGTTGACATTGGAAATTCAGGTTTTCGAGGCCGCTGAATTCAATTCTAATGTTAAATTGGAAAAATTAGCTTTAAACACGCTATTATAAAAGTATAATATCATACTTACTATATTATTACTTTCAAGCAACAAAGTCTACAACTTGCCTCTCCATCTATCATAATATCTTTTAAACAAGACTTTAAATAAAACTTAAATTCGTACATATTTAAACGAGAGAGTCAGGACACGCCCACGTTCAATAGAGATGAAGCAGTTACTATGCTGTTACGTAGCAATAACCAGGCTGCCACTACTTTGTGACTTTAATAATAGTGGCGGTTGAAGTTCCAATAACTAGACTGGAACTACTTGGTTACCTGAAAATCATTCCCCACTTTGGTAACTATTACATAGCAGCTTAGTAACTAGGTGGTAGCGGTGGATGGTCGCCGTAACCCACAGACCTTTTATATATTGCCGTAACCTTTGTATATAGTTACTAGGTTGGTAGCTTACGTTTTTGGAACTTAATTGTTAGCTGGGTTAAGACTTCTTTTATTTAAATATAAATACCTCAAAAATATTTTACAAGTTACTCACCTAAGAACTATTTATTATGCTTTAGTCCAAAGTCGTGTACAATACACAATCGTCTGTTGGGGTGCTACAACCAAAAATCACATATCCAAACTTGAAATATTACAAAAGAGAATTCTAAAAATAATATACAACAAAAAAGTTAGATACTCAACAGATGCATTGTTCGAGGAAGTAAAAATAATGGATATACGACAATTATACATATACTCAGTTATAATTCTAAACTACAAAAATAAACAATTATTAAACAAAATTACCCATAACTATGATACAAAAATCAAGGGTAAAAAAAAAGTTGGTACCCATCTTGCAAATAAAACAATAGCACAACGTTTTTACTTTCCTATCTGTATACAGATATAAGGAAAGTATAGGAATCATGATTTTTTTCGACCTCCGGTTTTCGAAGGATTTTTACGTTTTGGGGTCCCCTGAATCCGTTTTGACTATTTTCGGGATGATGTCTGTGTGTGTTTGTGTGTGGGTGCGTGCGTGCGTGTGTGTGTATCAGTCTGTCTGTGTGTGTCTATATCCACCATAACTCATGAATCGATACAAAGAAAAACACCAAATTTTAAACTTAAGCTTTATTCCAGCCTGCGGTGAACTGATTAGATTTTGGACAGAGTCGGAACATTTGGGGGGTACTTTATTGGTGGTCATTTTTATATTTTATGGAATATATTCGTTATTTACGTTTGAAGAAGAAAATTCTTCAAATAAAAGTTACTTACAATATTATTATCTATAATTTTTGTCCTAAAATGGTTCGTATTCAAGAAATTTGAAAAAATGTAAAAAAAATATTTTTTTATAAAAATTGTTCAAATAAAAGTTGTTTGTAATATAATTCTCTATAATTTATATTCCATTCATAATTTCTCTAAAATAGACCGTATTCGAGATATTTGAGATATGTGTAAATTTCGAATTTTGAAGAAAGCTCAAAAACGGATAAATTTTAAACTTAAGTTTTATTTCGGCCTGAGGTGAAATGATTAGATTTTGGACGAAGGCGGAACATCTAGGGGGGGGGGTACTTTATGGGAGGCCGTTTTTATAGGTTGTGGAATATATATTAGATGTTTGTGGAAAATGTATAGTTTATCCTCTAAACATTTATAGAGGTGCTGCAATATAGGTTGTACAAAATAACCGGAAAAAGCCTATATAATAACTTGATAGGAAAGTCATGTGTTGCACACATCAGATTTTTATATTTATTTAAGTTCAAAAATCTTTAATTATCTTCCGGATATGTACAAGGCATATTTACAAAACATAAATTCCGTTGAACTCTTTAAATCTATCATCAAAAAATTTCTTATTAATTCGGATAGTAAAACCCAAAGAGAAATAATTGATTAAATATACAAGTATTCGAACTAATATATTATAAGTTAGTAGTAATTGTATACTTTTTACGTGATATTTTTATTTTGTGTATCTTTATTATTTATATTTCATATGTATTTTAAATTATGTGTTTTTTAGCTAATTTTATATTGTTATTGTTCAGTAATTATTATTTAATATGTATTCTTTAATTAATTTAATTAGATTTTATGAACTTATACAAATCAAGCTTTAATAATGTATTTAAAAAAAATTGTTTAAAAAAAAGTTAGTAATTCGGCAGCCCATGGGCAACCACATGGTCATAAATGGGCAGCAAATACTTTTAATGTATAAGGTACCTGTCAATTACTCTATTAATTTAAAATTATTTAAATGTAGCTACAACTATGAGGTAACCAAAAAACAAAAATGCTGAATAAAGATTATTATTATTATTATAGATATGTCGAGGGATATGGGCATAAAATATGAAGAACTCCTTCATATCACTGCCAGTACAATGGATAGAGATGGTGTGGTCACAGTACAAATGGTTTTATGACGAAAAAATTTTAACAACAAAGTCGTCACCGGAAGATGTATTTTAGACTTTGAATAATGTTACCGATACTCAGTGGGACAATTATATAAGACACACGAAAAATAAAATTATTTCCGATTGGGAAAAATACAAGCAATTGAATATTTCTAACCAATTTTTATTAATTTAGGTACAAAGGCAAGTAGTGATGAGTCTGAACCAGAATCCAGTTGTGAATAAGTTATCCCAGTGGTCTCAAACTTTTTTGGTGACGGAACCTTTTTGAAAAGCAAAATATTTGACGGAGCCCTAAACACATTTCTAGAAAAAAAGGTCCATATCGTCCTTCCTCTTAGAGTGAATCTAAAAAACAGGCCCCGAGCCAAGTCCCTCCCCCTTGTTCGCGGAGCCCCCACAAAAAAATCAAAATCATATCCTCCATCCTCTTGGTGACTACTAAAAAAAAAGGTCCTCAACCCAAGCCCTTCCCTTTTGTAGCGATAGTACTGCTTTTTTTATTTTCTTCGCGGAGCCCCCACAGAGGCTTTGCGGAGCCCTGGGGCTCCGCGGACCACACTTTGAGTAACGCTGAGTTATCCAATAAATATTTTTCTGTGCCTCTTGTTATATTTTTTTAACAAAGAATCTGTTTCACGAATTTTCACCTGATTTGAATTATTTTTAAAAACTCTAAAAACGCTAAAAACCATTGTTCAGCTTGGAAATTTATTTATAAAGCACGAAAGTAAATTGTTCTAGTATTTGTTGACAAAATGTAAAACGTAATCTTAATTTTTTCAAAGTGACTTCTTGTATTCGTGTAAAAGCACTTTAAGGTATAGTTCACTCGTAAAACGGCCATTTTTAAAAATTCAATAAAATTGAAATGT